TCCTTCAGCTTTTAGGTGGCCCTTCCCCATAGCGTCCCTGTTCTGGACCTGTTCACTTCAGCTTGCTCCTGTCGGGTGGGTTCATGAGCTGTTACAGCGTCAGGGATTTATTTTTTCACCCTACGTGAGGCAGAATTGCAGCAAAGCCCCTTGCGAATAGGAGTTACAGCCAGAGACAGGCTTTTTAAGTCTACTTCTTTTCATTTTTCTCTTTTTCAAGAAAAATTATGGTGGCATCCAGCACAGGACCTGCTGGCCGGTGCAGGGAGAGGCCCCCTTGGTTGCAGACCTTCAGCACAGGGACCTTCACGCTCAGAAAGGGGCTAACCATAAGCCGCCCTGCCCTTCTTGTTTCAGCTGGGGAGTTGGAGAAATGCAATGCTCCAGCAGGTCCCAGCCACCCAGAAACCCGTGCTTAGGGATCACCATCAGGCTCCACATCAGAGCCATCTGTTTCACGCGCAGCAGCAAAGGGAGCATTTCGGTTTTTTCCCCAGCGTGGCAGGACATGAATCAAAGCAAAGGCAGGCGACCAAATCGGGAGCCAAGGAAAACTGGGAGGTGCTGAGTTACCAGAAGTGCTTTGGACAGGTCAGTGCTACTCAAGTGCCAAGAGAAGGGAAAATACACATGTATGTAGGTGTTGCATCTCTTGGGCTCCATCCCATTTTGGGATAGTCCAGGCAGGAGAATGGTAAATCCCAAAAATATATGTTCTCTGGCTTAAATCAGAGTGGGGCTGTGTGTGTGGTAAAGGGGAGGGAAAATCAAACCCGTTCTTCCTTGACTTCACAAGTTTGGACTGCAAGGGAGCTCTATTCAGGTAGCATATAAGGGCAGGGTTTTCCTTACTCAGCCAAAGCGCGAGGCAGGGTAACACAGTTACGGCCAAACTAAATCAGCGGCAGCTCTTTTTCCAGCCACACCCCGGTTTATCTCAGACCTTTTATGCTCCTACGACTCCAGTGGTTCACATTGTGCTGGGTGGCATCTTGCCTTAATTTTTCAGAAAAGATTTAAGGTTAATGGCTGATGCCCAGAGCACCTTGTTCTTCAAAATGCCTGTCCATCCTCTCCTCTCTCTACATGAATTTCCTCCACTTGCTCAAAGGTTCCTGCGCCTCCTGCAGGAAAGACTCACCTGCTTGTGCTGCAGCCTCCGAACAACTCCAGCACCCAAAAAATGAGGCAGTGGTCTTGGTTCAGGCTGTGGGAGCAGCTCTTGGAGCAGCTGGGCTGTGCTGAAGTCAGGCCGGGACCCTGCTAGGGGGACTTGGGGAAAATGGCTTTTTGTGGGACGTGTTCCCTGCATCCCAAGTCCAGCTCATCACGTTACAGCTCTGGGGTATTTTGAAGCCTGAATGTTCCCAAAACTGAGTGAAGACCCAAATTTCTAAGCATTTTTGGCTGCCGAACTACGCGGGTGGCCCCAAGGAAGACCCCCGAAGTACTCAGCCTGACTCCGGGGTGGTGGGTGTGAAGCACCAACCAGCTTTTCAGAGCCACTGTGCCTCATGAAGCCTCTCAGTGCTTTGACAGGCCTGGCCACGAGATACTTTGGATTATCAACCCCAGCACGTGTAACGTTTCTTAAGTGCAAAGAGCACCTGTCAATTTTGACTCTCAAAGGCGTGAGTACTGCCAGAGGAGGAAGGGAAGCAGTCCAGCACCAGGCAGATGCAATGCACTTGGTGTGGTGATGGAGCAGCCTTCCTCTTGGTGGGACGTCTGCAGTAGCAGGTCAAACATCTTCCCAGCTTGCTTCATCCGTGTTTTTGCCCAGGCCTGCTGAAACACAGTCCCTTTTCAGATCACTTTCAGGACAAAGATGTAGAGGCTGAGATCTCCCCTTCCCGCTGCCCGGTGGGGTGAGGCAGAGCCGAAACACCTCCAGCTCCCAGCCAGGGCAATGGAAAGGGTTAAAGAGCAACACAATGAGCAGCCCTCCGATTTGGTTGAAGCCTCTGGAGCTGTTGTTTGGTTTCCTATCCTACAGAACCAAAAGCAGCTTTGGAAAACAAAACACACATGAAGCCACCGTGTGGTCTAGTGGTGGGGACACGTTGCTCCCCTGGACAGTGGCACCCAGGCACCTCTGAGGTCTCAGTGCGATGCTGCTGCTGGGCAGCCCTACGGCACTGACCACCCCTGTCCTTGCAAAATTGCCGTAGGGGACAGTATGGCCAATGCAGCTGTCCTCACCGCTGAGGATGGGACTGGCTGTGATGAGAGTGATTTATGCTGGAACTGCCCCAGAACCAGCAATTCGAGCCCAGGGCTGGAAGCCACGCTCCATCCCTAGCCGTCGGTGCAAGGAAAAGGGGGGCAAACATCAGGTCAGCCCCTGCTGCCCCCCAGGCAGGTTCCACGGCTCAAGGGGGTGCCACCAAGCCACCCCACATGGGCACGGGCTGAAGCCTTATCCTGCAATGTAAATTTGGGAGCTGGGTGAGAGCAAAGACACAGCCGCACACATACACAGCACCCCCCTTTTGGGGGGGGGGGGGGGGCCCAAAAAAAGAGGCCCAAACCAATTCCATGGGAAGCGCG